AGAAGTACGCGGAGAAAACCTGCCCCAGCGCCACTTTGTCCACCATAAATCCCACTTGACCAGACCCGGGATCGAACCCGGGCCCCCACGGTGAGAAGTCAGCGACTAACCGCTTGAGCTATGGCGCGGCCCAAGCAGGCGGTAAGTTACTATTGAGTATTAAAGGGTTGAGAAAAATCACACTGAAGAACAGGCGTCTTCCCCAGTAAAGCCTAATTTCCTTATTTAAAAAAATAAAAGGTTTCTGAGATAAACATGTTGTCTGTAAGCAAAAGTAAAGTAAAGGTATCCCTGTAACGGGCCGTGGAGGCCCATAGGGTTGTCAGATGTTGAGGTTCCCACATTTTCTAGACAGTTTGCTCACAGATGGCGGTGAGGTTGTGGGCCTTACGCGCCAGCCGCCCTTTACCCCCGAGGAAGATTTGCTGGTACTCATTTCTGTTAGAGGCTGAGTCGATCCCAGGGCCATAGTGCGGCTGGAAGGATTAGGTCAATTGAGAAAATCCAATGACCTCATCGCGACTTGAACCCGCGACCTTTCGGCTTGTAGCATAGTGCCTCATCCATCTACGCTACCTCGTGCCCCCCTATGTTGTCTGTGACACCCCTATACATTTTTGAACCCTTGAACCAGTCTTTATAAAACTTGCACCTGAGCCAATCTCAACAGCGTACTCCATAAATCCCTCCCATCAGTCTATGTGTCTGTATTCGTATCCCCTTAACGCTGCTAGGCAACGGCTCGGTAGCAAATTTATCGCGTCAGAGGGCATATAGGGGGGTGTATAGATTCACATTTTCTTGACCTCGGCACTAGTTGGAGGTGAGTGGTCAGCTTCAAGACCCGTCCACTTTACCACCGGGGAAATAGCCCCCGGTACCCATTGGATAGCAGGCTGAGGGGGTAGCAGAGCCGGTCTCCACGCTGTGGAAAAGAGAAAATTCTAGCCCTTACCCGGACCCGAACTCCGACCCCGAGGTCGTGCAGCCCGTAGCAAGTCGCTATGCTGACTACGCTATCCCGGCTCCTCACGTCCAGCCCGTAGCAAGTCACTACGCTGACTACGCTATCCCGGCTCCCCACGTCGAGCCCGTAGCAAGTCGCTACGCTGACTACGCTATCCCGGCTCCCCACGTCGAGCCCGTAGTAAGTCACTACACTGACTACGCTATCCCGGCTCCCCACGTCGAGCCCGTAGCAAGTCACTACACTGACTACGCTATCCCAGCTCCTCACGTCTAGCCCGCAGCAAGTCGCTATGCTGACTACGCTATCCCGGCTCCTCACGTCGAGCCCGTAGGAAGTCGCTACGCTGACTACGCTATCCCGGCTCCTCACGTCGAGCCCGTAGCAAGTCGCTATGCTGACTACGCTATCCCGGCTCCCATGGAATCGGATAGGGCACAAAATCACCCACCCCCCTAACTTTGTGAGTTACAATGCACTGTAATCGCAGTCAAATCACCCCAATTTTCTAACGTGGGCCATCCCTCGTCTTCCACCCTCTCGTGCAACATACAACTGGTCAGTGCCGGGGAGGGGGTAGAGGGGTTAGAATCGATTACGTTGCTCTAATGACCAGCTAACAATCGATATATCGCACCTACACAGACAGAATAATTACGTATGTTTCTGTGTACGACCCATCTCAGTATGTCCATACGGTCTTACAGCGGTCTGTATTATCGGATTCTTTCATGAAAGACTGGTCAGCAGAACTGCAATTGTGTTTCATAATGCAACTTGAATTAAAGAAGCGAGTTTAAAAAATATAAATGCGATAAGTATGACAGCTTTCCGTAAAGCACAACTTATACAAACTGTAGCCATTGCATTCAACTTCTTCATTACATAAAGACGTTTCTTATCCATTTGACCATAACTGCTACAGCGACCTAAGATATAAGGTAAAGCTGTCCCCCTGTAACAGGCCGTGGAGGCCCATAAGGTTGTGAGATGTCGAGGCTCCAAAATTTTCTACACAATCGACTCAGAGATGGTGGTGATGTCACCATCACGCGCCGGCCGCCTTCTACCCCCAGGAAGATTCTTGGTACTGATTTCTGTTCGAGGCTGAGTCGACCACAAGGACACAGTGCGGCTGGATAGATTAGGTCAACTGGAAAATCCAGTAAATTCATCGGGAATCGAACCAGCGACCTTCCGTCTTGCAGCATAGTGCCTCACCAACTACGGTACCGCGTGTCCCCAACGTTGGACAGTACGGTGGCTGTGTGAATTTTATGTTTAGTAGGGCCAACAAATTTTTCTCTTCTCTACAGCGTCCAGACCGACTCCGGGGCCCAAAGAGTCTCCTGTCCAATAGCTACAGGGGGCTCTTTCCCCGACTGAGTGGTTGTGGTGATGAAGCATTTGGGTTGCCAGGGAAACGATCATGGCTTCCCATTATGCGTCCACTTTATCCACTCGATGTGAAGAGCAAGAATTTATGGGAAGAACTAATAGCTAATTTCCTTTGATACGATACGAACACCATAGAAAACAACGCGTCCTGCAATTCTGCTATCCGTGTATTCGTTGCCGCGAGAACGTTTAAACCGAGCTGTTGCCTAGCAACGATAGGAGAGATACATATATTCGTACAGACATACAGATTGATGTGAGGGATTTAAGAAGTAAGCCTTTGAGATTGGCTCAGGTGCCAAGTTTCATAAATATTGGTTCAAGCATTCACACAGACTCACAACATGGAGATCGCGTAAGCCTCCTTTTATTTATTTCTTCTTTTTATGTGGAACATAGGATAAAAACACATGTAATTCAGGCTTGAAATATTTTTATTTCAATTTTAATACTGAATGACAGCCGAGACGTTGCAAAATATGCAGCTTCCTTGAAATATGACAACGTTGTGCTGGGAAATATTTCCTTGTGAGGGAAGCCAGAACTGTGTTATAATCTCGGGACAAGCCATGACCTCCCCCGCGCTAGCCGCCCCCTTGCGGTGGCCTGCGCTCTTGTCGATCGGGGTTGGCATGTAGAGGGGTCGGAAGGAGCGCGCAATCGATGGCAGGAGGGAGCCCTAAAATGTGGCCCAATTTCTTCAGACCCGCCTTCACCTTCATCGCGCGTCCCCCTCGTAAGTGCCATGTTAGGTGGGTCCCTTGTCCTCAGGTTGCGGATGGAGGGAAGCTGCGAATATATTGAATTGACAGCCGACAAAGGGTGGTCCTCCAGCTTGGAGGTTGGGCGTGCTTCATAACTTGTACTCTTCTCCAAGTATCATTAGAATGATAAAGTCAAGGAGGATGAGGTGCGCAGGGCTTGTAGCACGAATGTGGGGGAAGAGGAATGCATATAGGATATTGGAGGGAAAGCGAGAAGGAAAGAGACCACTGGGAAAACCAAGGCGTAGCCGGGTGGACAATATTAAAATGGATCTTAGAGAGATAGGATGTGATGGTATGGATTGGATTGATCTGGCTCAGTATAGGGGCTAGTGGAGGGCTCTTGTGAACACGGTAATGAACCTTCAGGTTCCATAAAGTGCTGGTAAGTTCTTGAGTAGCTGCAGAATTGGCGGCTCCTCAAGAAGGGCTCAGCTCCATGAGTGCCCACCCCATCTGCATAATGTTTAACCTGTGAGTCCACGTTTGTTCTTTCACTGCGCTAGTATCGGCAGCCGGGATAGCCCAGTCGCTATAGCGACTGGCTGAGGGCTCGGAATTCAAGCCCCGGTAGGCATAAGCTTTTTCTCTTCTCCGCATCGTCCAGACCGGTTCTGGGGCCCACCCAGCCTCATATCCAAAAAGTACGGAAGACTTTTTTCCAGGGGTAAAGCGGCCAAGGCGTGAAGTTAATCACTCGAACTAGTACCGGTCAATACGTGGATCTACTCAGTTACTCCCCCATATGCGTTATTGATGTAGTGCTGAATTATCTAAACACAGGGTTTTTTTTATCTTTACCTGTTTTATTACTATTTTGTTTCTTTCTCCCGTCTTCACAAGTTATCTCTTTTCTCTTGTTATTCTTCTCCCCTTTCAGATGCTTTCGCCATGCTCCACCCGAGCTCGCCTATTTCCGCGTGAAACACCCCGAGAAAAGCTGCAACAGTTTTTCATAAAATTTGATATCGCATGCCTTTAATACGACTTGTTGACATTGCAGTTTTGGTTAAAATCGGGCAAAAATAACGGACACTTTACAAACGGAGCAGAGACAAGATTAAACACACATTCTACATGTACAGTACACTTTTTTTTTTCGTAAATCTCAGGTTTTTCGAGTTAATCAAACGGAAGTGACGCTGTGCGTACTTTTCCGAACTTGCATACAAAAGAAGATTCACCTTCCGAACACGCCCGAACATTGCCGAAGTCTCTGCTACTACTAATGCCTGAACGAGGCTTCCTGATTAGTGATTACAGTGTAACGGACTGAGCTACTCAAGGCGATATCAGTAGTCATAACAGAGAAAGTAATGTCACGCCATGAAGACGTAGGGAGTGATGGAGGTATAGCTCCACTATTCTTGACCTCGGCACTAGATGGAGGTGAATGGTCAGCTTCACGCTCCGGTAGCTTAGTCCCTGGGGAAAGAGTCCCTGGTAACAATTTGTTAAGAGGCTGGGTGAGCCTCAGGGCCGGTCTGGACGCTCTTGCCTCTAACCGGAAACGAACTCCGGATGTCAAGCCCGTGACTATACCGACTGAGCTATCTCCAGATCCCGTCAATAGCTAGAGAATGAATCGTCGAAGGAACAAGGCGTGCTATAACGACATCTGCTTGGAGAAACTTGGAAAAATCACGAAAATTTTCAGTGCTAGGTGGTGTACTGGCCATAATTAACATTGTACCGGATGAGATGGGAAGGTGGACACGGGCAGTGAGTACGCAAGGAACTGGAAAGAGGAAATCATGCCATGTCTCATGCTCTCTCTCCAGCCAATCAGACACAGCTTCAAGGAGTTGTCACCACGTACGAACGTAAACGTGTAACGTTTCCAGATGTAGTATTAGTGCAGTGTTACTCACCTTTTGAATCTCGCTCATTTTTGTAAATTGGCGCCCAAATTCCCATAGGTCCACTCCGAATTTTAGGGCCCAATTCTTCACCCTGAAACACAACACAGACAAATTACGCATGACTTCAGACTTTTAAAGCTACACTTAGCCTCGTAGGTTGTGATACCGTGTAGTCTTATAGTCTAATATCGATGTTTCGGGAGAAAATTTTGTTTCCATCTTCAGTGTTTAAATATTATGAGTCTTATTACCGTTCTTCCCGTGGGCCTGTACACATTCCTTACAATCTGCGTGTACAACTGAGCCAGTTCCTGAACCTGCACAACCATGGAGATATTCCTTCGCCTACAAAACTGGTGTCACAACACAGATACCGCAGTCTAAACTGATAACATATATTATTAACATGCACATCCTCCAACCATCTCAACCTGCGTCTTCCTATCTCTTGTAAATATTTCATTTTAGAGGCTGATTATCTGGTTTCTAAACAATTTAGTTTTTACGGTGTGGGGTTGTTAGCATCACACACAACCCCCAACCTGGAGGACCATGTTATCCCTCTTCATCTTGCTCCTACCCCTTGACCTGTCCGGTATGGGTGATCCTACCAGTAGCTAGGCTACCGCCAGCATAGATCTCAGGGTCTCAGGAGCATTCAAACCCCACCAGCACGATAAGGTGGCTACACCATCTGTGGGGCACTTATTTCCATAATCCGACAAATTTAATGGCTCTTTCATGGCTCTTTCATGGTTCAGCCATCTCTGCATATGACAAAATTACGGCTTAAGAACCCAGGTAACACAGTGCAGGTCCTGATACAAGTTGCGGGAGTTGTTTCTCATCTTCACACAGAAATCCTGCATCATGGGGTTCTGCAGTAGAATTTGTGTAGGATAAGCCGTGTGTGTCCCAAGCGAGAGGCATGCACCAACTTGCTGGAAATCAATAAGGCCACGATACAGGAGTGCCACCGCACAATGTACAGAAACCTGCGCTGTGCTCCTGACTTCTTCAGTATAGTCCTACTGGCCGCGCTGAATTTTTACTCGACATAAACAAATAACTGTTTGTGAAGAGTTCTGTCTTCTCGGACATAACGCCGTGCAGTCCATTGAAAGTTAATCGACGTTTCGAGGAACACGTCGGCTCCATATTCAGGGCAGAAGAATAATCCGAGCAAGAAACTAGCGTGAAAGCAGGTGGCAAGTGGAGCTCACACTGGTTTCTTTCATGATCATTCGACTCTGAAGATGGAGGTAACAAGTTACTCTGAAACGTCTATTTAATTTCAACGGGCTACATGGAATTATATCCCAGGAGATAGAACCCTTCATAACCACCGGTGTCAGAACCTCAAAACCAACAGATGACTGATTCCTTGTTGCTCTACAAATTTCGTAAGAAAAGACAGGTCCATCATGCGTTTCATGGGATCTCATGACGTCAGTAGCGAGATTATGTAGCACCTGATGGCAGGACAGTAACTCGAATTGTCCAGCCGAGATTAGAACCGAGCACCTCCATCATATTAATACAAAGAGTTACCGCTACAGCAGCCTCTCGGTGGTTTATCAGCTCGCCACGTACGCGTGTATAAGTCTGTGTGCAAAAGGTAAGGTAAAAAGGTAAAGCTATCCCTGTGAGAGGCTGCGGAGGCCCATAGGGTTGTGAGACGTCGAGGCTCCCACATTTTCTCGACAATCGGCTCACAGATGGCGGTAAGGTTGTCAGTCCTACGCGCCGGCCGCCCTTTACACCCACGAAGATTCCTGGTACTCATTTCTGTTAGAGGCTGAGTCGAGCCCAGGGCCATAGTGCGGCTCGAAGGAATAAGTCAATTGAACAAATCCAATGACATCATCGGGACTTGAACCCGCGACCTTTCAGCTTGTAGCATAGTGCCTCAATCAATTACGTTACCTCTTGCTTGCTGTTTTGTATTGGTATAAATATTTGCCTCTCACATTAAGGGAAGAACGTAAGTCGGTAAAGTTGTTCCCGTAGATACTTAATTAAGCATTATGGCATGCAGACGTATGAAGGAGTGGAGGTATAGCCCCACTATTTTTGAATTCGACACTAGCTGGAAGTGAGTGGTCATCTTTGCACCCGGGGAAATCGACCCTAGTACCCATTGCATAGGAGTCTGCTTGATACCCATAGTCGGTCTGGACGCTGTGGTGTAGAGAGAAATCTGTTGCCCTGCCGGGATTCTAACCCCGGTCGTTCAGCCCATAGCTCATCGCTGTACCGACTGAGCTATCCCGACTCCTAGGGAAGAACACAAGACTGACAATATTTGGACCTAGGATAGAGGAAGTAACAGGGTACTGGAGAAAATTTCATGATAAGTTTCATCATTTCCAGGCCTGATTCTCACCCAAATATTAATAGGATGAATAAATCAAGGAGGATGAGACGGCCGGAACATGTATCACACATGATAGAGGTGAGAAATTCATATGAAGTTTTCGTAGGAAATCCTTAAGGAAACAGAACACTTTGAAGACCTAGGCGTAGATGGGAGTGTATTATTATAATCTATCTTAAGGAGATAAGTTTGGAGGATGTGGACTGGATTTGCCTGGCTCAGGAAATGAACCAATGGTCGACTGTTGTGAACATGGTAATGAACATTCGTGTTCCATAAAATGTCTGGAATTTTGTTGGGTTCCCAAGAAGGACTGTGTTTCATGGATTTAGTTAATTTTAACAACATAATATTAAGATGTAAGTTTTGNACGTCGACCAAAACGAAGAATACACGGCGCCTAAACCCAGAAGACGACTTTCTTCATAATCTTAAGATGTTGGGTAGAGCTATCTAATTTCATGCTACAACTTTCTAAATTAGCAAACATATTCTTCATGAATTCCGCTTCTTGTCTTTAATAGTTCTCCATAGATGGCTGCACAATGCAGCAACCGACCAATCAAATTCTGCGTCTCAAAACCCACACCGTGTTGATATTACTCGCTTCCAATGAAGGCATTGTTAGTTCAGCGAGATACCAACAATAGAGAGTGTAATAAAAATATAGGCTATTGAGCTGAAGTTCCCTTCCACGTCAGAAAATTTCCCTTTCAATGGCTCGCAAGTGCTGGAAATCCCCATTGTGCCGACACAAAAATAATAATGTTGTGTACAAGCAAGGCTAGTCGAATCGCTGTTTCTGACGCCTGCGCACGAGGTCCCTGACTCCGCCCTTCATTACAGCGTCCCTGCCTCTAGTTCAACGTCCGCACACGCCACGCCGTAGAAGCAGTCCACTGTTCCGTCCTCCCTTATTCATTTGTTTTATTTCTTTATTCAGTTGTTGTTGCTTAACCCCAAACTGTCACATATAAGTTTATAATAGCAATTTAATCGCTTCATTTGGGCTCATCAGCGTTTTGTTTCATCATCCCTTTCAGTCTTGTGACTGTTCAATCAATATAGCAAACTAGGACACGTGATGGATGACAATGGTTCGATTCCCGACAGCTGCAAAAATGTTTTCGCCATGACATGTAACCCGTCTCTGAGACAGATACGAACTCATATCAAACGAGGATCTTTTTAAGGGATTAAAGCGGCCGGATATTGAAGCTGACCACTCATCTCAATCTAGTGTTGAGGTTAAGCATGTACGGAGTTCTACCACTCTTCCCCCATACGTCTTCATTGCGTGCTGCATAATTAAGCACAAGGAGACCTTTGCTATTAGCCTGATGCAGTCTGGAGGTGTCCACTATTACGAGCTATTCCTCTGCGCATCACACCTGTTTCTCATGCGGAAGGTCCCACGTTCATATCTTGGCCAGGGCACCGGATAAACTGATTGCGTTCTCCTGTAGATTAGTGAGTCATTCCAAGCAAACGCCATTTTACTTCCTCAAATTCGGCCACGACCACTTCTTTCCACGCCCTATTGAATTTATTTTTCACTGATCGTCCAATCATTCGACGCAAAATTATATTCTCATGTATTCTAATTTTTACGTGTTTAGACTAAAGGTTCTGGACTGGATGGTAGCAAACATTGGCGAACACACGGTAGTGTACTTGCTTGAGGGACTAAGCTACAAGCCGGAAGGTCGTTGGATTTTTCAATTGACCTAATCCTTCCAGCCGCACTATGGCTCTGAGGTCGACTCAGCCTCTAACAGAAATGAGTACCAGGAATCTTCCTGGGGGGTAAAGGCCGGCCGGCTCGTAAGATTGACAACCTCACCGCCATCTGTGAGTCGATTGTCTAGAAACTGTGGGAACCCCGACGTCTCACAACCCTATGGGCCTTGACAGCCTCTTACAGGGATATCTTTGCTTTTTATGATAGCAAGGATTATAAGATTTGAATCTCCTCTTAATTTCCTCCTGAATCAAATTCGATTTGTTACTGTCGCTCCCAGATATTTTAATTGTGCCATGTTGCCCAAGGATGTTAGCTATCTCTACTGCATATACCATAATGAATATATAATATGCCAAATAGGTCGAATGTACGTATTTACATTTTGCAAGAAATTCGTAAAACAAATGCATAATACAGAGTTATTTTCCGGCAGTCAGTGAGCATGTTTTATATTCGCTAAAAAATGAGAGACATAAGTAACTGAGTGCAAGTGCTATTATAGCAATATTAGCTATATATAGCAAGTGCAATATTAGCTACGTGGCTTATCTCCCTAGAAAGTCAGTAAATTTTTGAATAAAAGTAAAACCCTCGTAACAGACAACACGGAATATTAAACGATGCGTTCCTAGTATAAACATCGCGCCATAGCTCAAGCGGTTAGTCGCTGGCTTCCCACAGCAGCGGCCCGGGTTCGACCCCGGGTCTGGTCAAGTGGGATTTGTGGTGGACAAAGTGGCACTGGGGCAGGTTTTCTCCGAGTACTTCATTCCACCAATTGCTCCACAATCACCCTCACCTATCATCTGGGGCGGTACAATAGGCCAGAAGTGGCCGCAGTACAAGGGACTTAGTCCCACCCCACTAGCAATAAAAGAATAGTATAAACATTTTCTTGTCAGAGTTCTGTCTTCTGTGCTATAACGCCGAGTAGTCCTTTGAGAGTTAACAGACGTTTCGGAATTTCAAC